GAATGAAGGAGATTTCAGCGTCTCAGACAAACGTGGAGCAAATGACAATCATCGCATCAGGTTTAAAATCAAACACATGATGAACTGTCTCTAAAAGTCCTTCAGCATCTACATGATCTGTACTCAAGTTTGTCTTCTGTTGTAATGTATTAAAGAAGAGATAAGATCAAATTTGCCGTAGGAAACAGTGCCACACAGATAATAATAATAAAAAAAACAAAAAGGAACACCCCATGAAGTGATTTTATGATTTTAATCCTATTTAGAATCATAAACCCTGAAAAAAAAAGGTGATGAGTCCACAGGGGCCTTGATCTTTCAGCGGGGGCTTCAGGCAAAGTGGGGTTAAGTGTCTTGCCCAAGGACACAACGACAGCAGACATCAGTGGGAGTCGTGAAGTAGGTCTCGTGGTGGATACGAACCTACGACCTTCAGGCCCAAAGGCCGATGCTCTACCAACTGAGCCACTGTCGCCCCCAATTTTACCCATTTGATGTAACTCTGTCTGTGTGTGTGTGTCTGTGTGTGTGTGTCTGTCTATCTGTCTGTGTGTGAGTGTGTGTCTGTCTGTGTGTGTGTGTGTCTGTCTATCTGTCTGTGTGTGTGTGTGTCTGTCTATCTGTCTGTGTGTGTGTGAGTGTGTGTCTGTGTGTGTGTGAGTGTGTGAGTGTGTGTCTGTCTGTGTGTGTGTGTGTGTCTGTCTGTGTGTGTGTGTGTGTGTGTCTGTCTATCTGTCTGTGTGTGAGTGTGTTTCTGTCTGTGTGTGTGTGTGTCTGTCTATCTGTCTGTGTGTGTGTGTGTCTGTCTATCTGTCTGTGTGTGTGTGTGTCTGTGTGTGTGTGAGTGTGTGAGTGTGTGTCTGTCTGTGTGTGTGTGTGTGTCTGTCTGTGTGTGTGTGTGTGTGTGTCTGTCTATCTGTCTGTGTGTGTGTGTGTGTCTGTCTATCTGTCTGTGTGTGTGTGTGTGTGTGTGTGTCTGTCTATCTGTCTGTGTGTGTGTGTGTTTCTGTCTATCTGTCTGTGTGTGTGTGAGTGTGTGTCTGTCTGTGTGTGTGTGTGTGTGTCTGTCTATCTGTCTGTGTGTGTGTGTGTGTGAGTGTGTGTCTGGCTGTGTGTGTGTGTGTGTGTGTGTGTGTGTGTGTCTGTCTATCTGTCTCTGTGTGTGTGTGTGTGTGTGTGTGTGTGTGTATCTATCTGTCTGTGTGAGTGTGTGTCTGTCTGTGTGTGTGTGTGTTTGATCATATATGTGGTTTGGTCCGATTAACAGATTATGGACATGTGGGATTAACTTCAATCAAACTGAAAAAAGCACTTTATTATAAAATGTGATTGATCAAATCTGTATTTTCCAGTCAAACATCCCCCGGCCCCTGAGTCCCCAGACTTAATGAAACAGATGAAACCAGAGTATGTCCCCACATGTGTGTGATCGTATGTTCTAACCTCGCCACAGCTGGAGGAGGCCTGTGGAGCAGCACCACTCCTGACTTTAGGATCATACAGGATTAACAGGCGGCTCCCTCGTTACATGTTGTTCTGTCCTGAGATAACTTGGACCCCCTGCAGCCACATGCCCCCCGCCCTGCCCCGCCCCCCGCCTAACCCCCGCCTCCTCCGGCCTTCTCAACGCTGTCAGCTGCAGCAGATGAAGCTCAAACAGACTCCAGGCAGAGCTCGTTCCATCTCTCTGCTCCTCCTTTGAGCTCCTCAGCCCCGGAGCCGTGAGCGTGGAGCCACAGGGAGGTGGGACATGTGTAGAGAGATATATTTATTTATTTTATATATTTTTTTCATTTATTTATTTATGATTTATTTTATTATATATTAATCTACTTTTTCTTTCATGACAATACATCACGTTTTACAATTACATTTCAAAAAATAATTGTAGCCCTGCCACACAAAAGGAAAGCACCAGAAAGATGAAAAAAACTGTTTCCCTTTAATTAAGCAAATGAAAATGATAAGAAAAACATTTAAGAACTCTTCATAGAACTGTATTTATTATATATTATTTATCATTTATTATGTATCATAAATAATTTATTATTTGTTATATATTATGTATTATGTATTAATCTTTATATATATTTTTTATGTATTGTTTAATATCTGTTGTTTCTCATTTCATATTTTTTATGAATATATTAAAAAAAAGTCTTATTTCTACCATTCATTTCATTCAATTCCACTGTTTTGCTTTTGTCCTTAAACATGTGTGTATTTGCATAACTCTGTATTCCATATTTGAGCTGATTCCACAGTTTCAGTCCCGTGTGTTTCTACATTAAACAGATGTAAAACAGCAGCGTCTCCTCCTCGGGCGAAAACAAAACCCGTCTCTCTCGTTTTCTCTTTTGCCGGGGGCTCTTTCTTCCCATTAATTTCCTTGTGACATTTAGTCGTCTGTCTCCACGTCTTCAATCTCTTTGTTTTTTTATTTTATTTTTTGCAATTACAAAAATACTGCCACCGAGTCACACCTCGTCTCCCGCTGTTCATCAAATACCAAGCTCCTGATTTTCCCAGCGTCAAACTAACGACGTTGTGGTTGAGCGCGATATTTCACTTGTTTCTCTCTCAAATGGCCACGGCGGCGAGCGAGGGGTGGCGCAGCGTTCTGAATGGCTTTGACCGTGAAGGCGGACAGCCAAGGTCATGGGAGTGATGGTGTGGTCCGATGCACATGGTAAATTAATTACTTGTATTTATGTGTGTCCTGTGATAGTGAAGGTGACTCGCCTCGTGCCAAAGTGACGGGCGTGGACTTGTTTGTGAAAACAAAACGGTACAACAGCGATGCCGATTAGTTCGAAGCCCGTGTTAGCATATAGCATGTAGCATATAGCATGTAGCATATAGCATGTAGCATGTAGCATGTAGCATGTAGCATATAGCATATAGCATGTAGCATATAGCATGTAGCATATAGCATGTAGCATATAGCATATAGCAAGCACACAGGTGAAACTCAGAACATTTGAAAATCGTTGTTTAACAGTTCTTCTACTTCTGTAAACTTAAAGTGTGAAGCTAATCTGGGACAAAAAAGAGAGCACAGGGACTGGCCTCCTGCTGGGACTCTGAGGACCACAGGGACTAAGCTCCTGCTGGGACTCTGAGGACCACAGGGACTAAGCTCCTGCTGGGACTCTGAGGAGCACAGGGACTGGCCTCCTGCTGGGACTCTGAGGAGCACAGGGACTGTCCTCCTGCTGATGCCCAGAGTCAGGACCAAACACGGCAGAGGCAGCATTTCAGTTTCATGCAGCCAAAATCTGGGAACAATCTTCCCATTGTATCATCCCTCCTTTTAACGCACAGTTATTATTTATGATTGTATTGCCCTTCATTGTTTCCATCTTGTTTCTTAAAGCACTTTGAGTTGCCGTGTGTATGAACTGTGCAATACAAAAATACGTATTATTCATATATACAGAAAGCACTCAGATGAAACTCAGAAACTTCCTTCTACTTTTACTACGATTGAACCTAATCTAGAACAGCAACGTGAGAAGCCTCTGTATTTGTTATAATCCTGCCCCAGAAAAGGACTGAGGGGAAGAAAATGGACGGATGGATATTTGTTCTAATGTTTTGCTGCCTGTACGGAATTCTAATATTCTGGGTTTTCACCTGCAGAGGCTTAACCAGGGCAAGAGATTGACAGTGGACGGCGGCTGCTTGCGTGCGAACGACAAGCGCATCAGTCATTCTCTGCTACGGGAACAGCGCTGCCTGTGGAGCGGAAACACAGATGGTGGCCTGTCTGAAACACTGGATAATCACCGCCCGTGTGGAATAAAAATGATGTAATGAGGTATTAACTGAAAAGGAAGAGCAAAACGTGCCTGATGGACACATGTCATGGACTTCCTCAACTCCGTGGGCCCATGTGTGTGTGTGTGTGGGTGTGTGTGTGTGTGTGTGTGTGTGTGATTGGGTTCGTGGTGGGGGGAGAAAATCCTCTTTGCCCCTCATCAGCTGGATATTCTGACGCGGGTCGACCCCATGGTGCAGAAGGCCGACAAAGTCCTAATTTATAAACTGTAAGTCAAGCCGAATAAGCAGGATTCGGTGTCGGCAGAAAGCGCAATCGTCAACATTGACCCTGGAATAGCTACGTTTACACATGTTTTGACATTTTCAATATTGAACTTGTAAATAACACAATAGTTTAGAAATCCTGCACGACTAAAATAAATGCCTTCATTGGATTTGAGTCGCAGGAAGATGGTAGAATCAACCAATGGTGGAATAGATGGTAGAGAAGATGGTAGAATCAATGCTCTAAAAGGAAGGAGGAAATGGTAAGGATCATTGAACCCAGGACCTTCTTCCTGAGAAGCAAGAGTTCTATCCACTATCCATACGGCAATAGGAATCCTGGGTCGGGGGGTGGCAGTCAGAGCTGCACCCAGCTCACAGAGCACCCAGTTCACAGAGCACCCGCCCCTCACTGATCCTCCTGCAGGAGGTGAGTCCACAGGAGGCTGCTCTGTCAGTGACAGCACAGCCTTGATTTTTCAGCGGGGACTTTAGGCAAAGTGGGTTTAAGTATCTTTCCCAAGGACAAAATGACCTATGTGTGTGTGTGTGTGTGAGTGTCTATAGCCCGAGTGGATCCCCTCCCTCAATGTGGGACTCCCCAAGGTTTCTCATTTGGTTGGTTTTTAGGGTCTTTCCTTGTCGACGCAGGAGGGTCTGAGGACACCGGTGATGATCCAGGACATCTGCGCCCCTTATGGACCAAAGTGATTTTTTTATTGTTGCATTTCATGTGTTTGAACTGTTTGATTCTCTGATCTGTGTTTGGCCGACGGTTTTGTTAAGTCCTTCGAATTAACTACTGTTTCTTCAGTGGTCAGAAGGTCCAACTACTCTTGCATTCTTAGTTTTTGAGCTATGCCGTTGCCGTGGACCTCACAAATCCATTCTTTCAATCACATTCTCTACACCACACAGCACAACACAAGCCACGCACGCAACAATGTCTTTACCTTCTCTTGGTATTGTCTGCGTGAGGAATCCAGTGATTGGATTAGTGCCGTGGCGTGGCCTACAAACATGGCGTAGCAGGTGGCGCCCACGATCATACTCAGCATGGTGATCCACAGGTCCGACATGCTGACCGGGGCGCGGGCTCCGTACCCAATGCACAACATGTGGCTCATGGCTTTGAAGAGGGCGTAGGAGTACTGCTTACCCCACGAAACGTTCTGGAACAAACACAAGAGAGACAGGAGGGAGGGTAGAGGGGAGGTAGAGAGAGAGAGGGGGTTATAGCTGGGCACAGGAGAAAAAGGTTCTCTCTCCAAAGCGCCGGACGGAGACAGGCTTTGCTTTGATGGATCACTGAACCGCTGAGATCTGGCCCTGCTTTAGCCCTCTCTCTGCCTAATGCCCCGTACGCACAGTCATGCCCCCTTCATGTGCCGTTCTCTTCTCCATTTTACAGTTTCCACAGAGAAAGAGACCACTGCTGCAGTCTGACTCAGATTCAGATTCATTTATTTGCCATTTGCAGTAAAACCACTTTGAAATACATCTGCAAAAGTCTCCAGAGTCAGAGTCAAACCTGCTCCGGGAACATGCTCTAAATGTCTATTGTGTGTAATTAATGCACTTGTATATATAGTAGTAAATTTGACAAATGTTATATAGATTTTGTATTTTTTTAAATAAATGCTTTATTTAACAGCTGGCCTGTTAAACTCAGGAGCTTGGACCAAAGTCGTCAGTCTGAAAAGATATTTGATGTGGACTGTGTATTTATTTTTACGCATGCCTTATTGTTTTCCCCAAGAGCCAAAACAAGATCCTAGTTTGGGACTTCCTGTTACTCACAACATATTTTTTTTAGTTTTACTGTTTTACTCTCTACATGTATTAGTGTGGATTTTGTGCTGGTATCTTTTTTTTTTCTGTTTTGGTGCCTGTGAAGGACTTTGAGCTTCTGGTAATGTTGGAAATGTGCTATACTAATAAATCTGACATGGACATTGAGATTGACAGTGGCAACACAAAGATGTCTGACTTTGAAATGCGCTGTATAGATTTAAATACAGTACTTCCTTAAGGCAACACTACAATACACTGAAAACGAAATTATGAAATCCTATGTACAGTAAGTAAGTTATATTTTTTTCATACAGCAGGACAAAAACAAAAAATCATTAACTTTGAAAAATGTACCAAAATACAAACGTCACATAAACACTGTGGAAAGATTCAGCGAAAGCCATTATTATCAAAACAAAGACATTCCTCCTTAAGGGTGTCCTGCTGGTCTCTGCGTTGCAATACACGTGTGACAATCTGCCTTTGTTATTGTGTGTGTCCTGGGACTTAAAGAGTCCCGAGTGAAGGACCCCAGAGGAATCCCACTGAGGCCTGAGCTGGAGACTCTACGAACAGTTGCCCTTTCGAACAAAGTCTCTGTCAAACCAGGAAGCAACGGTACAATATCGACCTAAAATAAATGTGGTACTTTCTGGACTATGCGACAAGTTGACCATTAAAGGTGTAAGTATTTTGGTTCTTGAATACCAAACAATAGTCGGTTATCCATGTTATATAAGTTTTAGCACTCTGAGGTTTCCCTGAAATGTAAAGTGCATTATAAATAAAATTTATTATTATTATTTATTTTTATTATTTATTATTATTTATTATTATTATTATTATTTATTATTATTATTATTATTATTAAGTTGATTATTATTATTTTTTCCCAACTGACATTTTTGACAAGTCGGATCAGAAGACCAAATGCACCTCGTTGGACTATTGCCAGACTATAGGCCTCTACTTTTATATTATTATGAATCCTGCTGCCTTTACAGTATAACAATGCAGTCAGTGTGTGGATTTCATTTTGTCAGAGCGCCCCCTAGAGTTAAAAAACGGGTGTGTTGATCTGCAGAGCTGACGACGTAACACACATTCCTGCTCCAGTGTGTTTATGTGAACAGTAGACAGACACAGGACTTTTTTTTAAGTGATTAGAGCTGTTGTCAGAGTTCATAGACTTATTAGTTTTAGTAGGACTCTTACTGTCAAATTAGACAGGATTTGTTTTGCTGCATCAGCTCTGGGTTTACAATACCACCTCAAAACCTGCGGCTTATATTCAAGTGCGGCTTATGTCGGACAAAATGTATTTTCAATTCAAAGGTAGCCGGTGTGGTTTGTTTACAGGTGTTTTAAAAGTCCAGTGAGTACAGTACAAATGTTTGCCTGCATGTTGTTTGTGTTGTTATTGTAGAGCTAGGAAATTATTGAGGATATAAAATTGTGTTGTACTGCAGCAAAGGAAACATTACAGGCTTTTTATTGTAATGAGTCGTTTTGTACACGGACAAAAAGTAAAATCTTAGTAAGATTTATTCACTAATACTAACATACCGTAAATGATGCTTATTTTTTAATGTTTTTTTTTTTCTTGAAAGTAGTTATTTCACTAGTTTTAAGATAATACTTCATATTCTTGATAAAGTCCGAGCAGTGAGTTTTTAAGATGAAGTATTTTTTCTTATTTTCTACATGACTTTTCTTGTTTACATAAAATAAGTTTGTTCGGCTATATTTTAAGAAAACCTTTCTCAAAAATGTTTAATAAAAAAGTAAACACTTGAAATGTATGTTTTTAAACTAGAATCAAGTCGTTTGGGGCTAGAAATCTTGTTAGGTCAGATTTTCCTGTTCTATTGTCACCATTTTTCTTATTTTCAAGGGATTTTGTCCAGTGTAAATGTCAGTGTAAACCTTCTCTGTGATTTCCATCTTTGAGGCAAATTCCCCAACATTTTTTTTTTTTAGGTAGATTTGACTTTTTCCCCACAAACGTGCAGCAGCGCATGTGCGAGAGTCGTAGCTCAGTCAAAACAACCGCATTAATAATGTTAATTACTTGATGATATTAGGCTAAAAACCAACAAGCTGTTCCCTGCGATGCATACTATTCATCTGAGTTACATAATCCATCTACAAGCTGTTCTTTAGGGACAGAGGGATCGCAATCCTTCATGCATCACTGGAGCAATGACCAGAGTGACCGGTCCAACACATACATACACAAATATACATGTTTATTATCCTCCCTGTTTTACATTTTAGACAAGATATAACTTATATTTTTGTCATTTTTAGTAATATTTAGTAATTGTATACTTAATTCTCGCTTCTTATTATGCTAAAGCGAGAGATGCTATACTAGCTTCTTTATTATGCTAAAGCTAGAGATTTTATACTAGCTTCTTTATTATGCTAAAGCTAGAGATTTTATACTAGCTTCTTTATTATGCTAAAGCTAAACATTTTATACTAGCTTCTTTATTATGCTAAAGCTAAACATTTTATACTAGCTTCTTTATTATGCTAAAGCTAAACATTTTATACTAGCTTCTTTATCATGCTAAAGCTAGAGATTTTATACTAGCTTCTTTATTATGCTAAAGCTAGAGATTTTATACTAGCTTCTTTATTATGCTAAAGCTAGAGATGCTATACTAGCTTCTTTATTAGGCTAAAGCTAAACATTTTATACTAGCTTCTTTATTATGCTAAAGCTAAACATTTTATACTAGCTTCTTTATTAGGCTAAAGCTAGAGATTTTACTTTAGTATAGTGTTATTGTTCATTTATCTTGTGCTGTGTGCTCCCCTTTTCTACTGTTCTGTAACTGCTGATGCAACACTGGCATTTCCCTGACATCTCTTAATCTTAATCTTACTCGTACCTGGTTTATAAACTGGCCCTTGATACAGAGAGTTCAGACATGTGGCGAGTGTGGAGCTAACAGTGGTTGTATAACAGTCATTTAATGTATGTGAAGTGTGTGCATAGGATTAAAGCAGAGGGGAGAGCTCTGTGTGTGGTCAGTGTTGTAGAATTAAAATGTTGTAATTTTTTTTTGTGATTTTTTTTTGACAACATCAGCCACGCCAAACTCTGTCCGTCAACCAGGGAAATAAAGAAGGCATTTTCAAGATGGACGTTTGGCTTTTCATAGAGAACTTGATTACAGATGAGGAAAGTATATTTGAGCATAATCGTGACTAAAACAAACAGAGGCCAGTGAAATACTCTTGAATATCCAGGTCATTTCTCAAATGCACACTGAACGCTGCCATTGAGACCACGCCCCCTAGTGGCACTGCGCCTCCATCACATGTACAGGAGATTTCTAAAAGACTGGACAAGACTTTTGAGCCCAAAGCACAAGTTGAACTACACAACTGTTGAAGGCACACGTTTGAGCCGGTGGAGTGAACAAAGTGAAGTATGTTTGGATGATATTATGGGGACAAAAGATGAGGCGGCACAACACCACAGAACACCGGATGTGGCGCAGGAGACTGGGATGGACCTGCCTGATCCAGGGGGCAGCAAGCTGATATGTTAGATGCTATATACGCTAGCATGATTATTGTGGGACGTTTTGAAAGAAAAGGGGCTTTTTTCATTTTTAAATAAATTAAATGTATTAATGGCTCTTCTGGTCCCTGGAAAAGCCATGTTCTTCCCTCTGGCAGAAGACATCCTCCGCTGAGATGCACGACATCTCGTTTTGCAGCTTCTTTCCACAAAATGTCAGTTTAAACAGAGCACTTTGATGAGCTTCCACTTTTAGGCCCTGTCCACACGAAGTCAAGCTCAGGCCTAAACGCAAAAATACTTTATCAATCCAGTGTATCGTCCATACGAGGCCGGCGTTTTGGGGGGGTGTAAACGAACATTTTTGAAACTAGGTCCCAGAGTGGAAAGATTTCAAAACTCCGTATATGCCGCTCCGTGGTTACTGCCTCTCCGCAATGTATCTGAGACGCTTGCGTCATCGCCCCGCCTCTTGTTAAAGCACGCATGCGCCGCACTCACAAAATAATGACAACAACAATGTCCCAGTCTACACTTTCTTGTAGCTTGTTGGTTTTGTAATCCAGTGTGACCCGAAGCAACAGTTCAACCTCATCGTCCGTCCATACTAATGTAGTACCAGCTCGCCCACTCGCCATGTTGTCTGTTTACAAAATTCTGCGCATGCCCAGTTCCCGTCACGGAAGTTTGGGCTTGATCCCGTCATTGCGTCACAGCGCCACCAACAGGTCTGGCATAGTTTCACAGCGTTTTCAGGCGTATTGACTACATTCATATGGACGCACACATTTACTGAGCTAACTCCGTGTTTACAGAAAAAGTTTCTGAAATTATAAGCGTTTTGTCTTCGTGTGGATATAGCCTTAATCAAAACTGTTTTAGTCAATCATTTTTGTACTTTTAACCTTGTTTTAGGGATGTATTTTTTCTTGTGCACACTTGGGAATATTGCTGATGTATTCCAATGTGGTTTTACTCCAAATGGCAAATAAATAAATTAATCTTGGAATCTTGGAGGCCATAAATATTCCGCCCTTTTGCAGCCCTCGACTCCCAGGCCAAGCCCCGTCTC